TAATACATAATACATAATAACCATACATAATAACTTTACATGTAAACTATTTATGAATCATAACTATCAAAAGCAATGTAAAAATTAAATTTTTTTTAATTCATAATACCTTACCATGCATTTCAAGGATTAAAAAAAAAAAAACTACTGTAGACATCTCTGCCAATGATTTAAATGTAGCTAAAATAGTTTTACCAATTCAAGACAATTTCAACATAAAAACTTTAAATGTTTGTTTATTTGACACTATAAAAGTAATCGTGTGAGGTACATATTATGGTGTTGTAAAAATTGTGTGACTTGAAGGTGAATAGGACTCAGCTATGGTATATCTGAAAATTATAAATGGTTCTCTTTCCTCTTTTCCTAGACCAGGGATCCCACGATTTGGTCAATATTCGTACAATTGTTTTTGTAGCTATATGAATGTTGTTTTCGTAATGTCACGTGCCACTTAGTAATAAACCATCCCTTTCGGTATATTTGGTATGGGAATTGCAAAATTATAGTTATTTAATACTTGCGTTTTGCGGATTTCTAAACCAGAGATACTAATATCCATGTATACTATAATTGTATGATTCAATAGTTAATCTTTCAGTCAGTCACCTAATCAACGGTGACATTCTATTATTATAAGTAAAACATACTTAATTTCTTCATAAAAAAGTTACAATACTAAGAAAAAAAGAGCCAAGAAATCATAAATTACATATGAAAAAAATTAGACGATTGGGTTATGCTCTGCAATACATTAGGTGTCTAAAGAAGTCAGTGTTGTTAATGGATTTGTTGAATTTGAATTCAATAACCTAAAATTATTTTGAATAAAAAATGATTCTGAGCCAAGACAGTCAGCCTATATATTTACTTAGCATATTTCATGATTTTACTGTGATTAAAAAAAGGTTTTACTATTAGGCATTCCTACTACAGTAGGTTAAATTAACTTTAAAAAAATATTTTATAAACACAATTTAATTGGTACTTGTTAAAATCTAAATCTGTATTCTTTTAAGGTTATTAAATTTCAAATTAATGAGTTTTATTCTCTTATTTCAAAAAAATGTTGAGATTTTAATAACCATGAAATATAAGCTTGGTACTTTGACTTCGTAGTTTTCAGTACCAAATTAATTAATATCAAATATATCACACAATGATAATAAATAATACAATCACAAAAATCATAAAAGATATTAAACCTTATATTTTTTTGTTAAATAGATTATATTTTATTGGATTCAATATAAATTAAATGCATGAAAAATTTGTTTACTGTTTAGGTAAATGGTATTATTTCACCTTAAATTATGTGTATGGCGTGTATGCCATGTGTAATACCAACAATTATCGACATTTTTAAGCTTATAAAATATGTCTAACACATGCAATACATAGTCATTAATTATAAACTATGATATTTTTTACACAAAGCAAAGTGTATTTAAAATTAAAACGTATTTTCCAATACGAATATAACTTATACGTCAAAATTCAGTCTTTTCAAACATTAATGAAGAATACCAAAAGTGATAATTAACGATTTAGTTATAAATGAAATTACAAATAAAACTTTGAATTGATAAAATATAAAGGTTGTTTATTTTATATTACTATAATTAAAAGGTAGGTTTTTCTTTTTATTATTTACTAAACTAAAAAAAAAAATATCAAAATATATTCAAATATTTTATAATTTACCTAATTTAAATAATTTAAAGCTAGGTATTTTAATCTATTACAGCACTTTTTTGATCCAAGTACGCAGAAATAATAATTAAATGAGTATTACCTACCAAGAACTGATTAATTATTGTAAAACCAATAATTTACTCGTTTCCTAAACATTTTGAAATAGGTAACATGCTTAGCTCATCAGGAATAATTAATGAGTTAAAAATATATGTTTTTGGAGGAAATAATGCTCTCTAGACTTTAACCGGTGATGGTTTCGTTATTATATAATGCATTATACATCACACATGTATACTTATTATAGTTTCTTTAAAGTTTATACGATTTAACTTTAGTTGACGTGTCCCTCGAGTATTATTATGTTTAGTTAACTAAATTTCAATTTAAAATTCTTTAAAGAAACTATATTAGCTAGGTACTCATGTTAATTTTTAAGATGATATTTAACAACCTTTTAAATATTATTTATGCTATATTATTACTGTTTGCATAAAAATTATACATTGGTACATACTACACATATTTAAAATAGATTTATTACTTCAAACTACTATTTTTTCTTTTATAGGTACTTATCTTCATTAATAGGTACTGTTAATCATTCCTTTAAGTATGAATATAGTTTTGGGGCTTATAAAATTAAAAATCATTATTACAGCTCGTTTAATTTGCGTAATTATACATTTTTATATACTTATAATATATTAAATTTACATTGATGTAGAGCATTCAATATTGAAGATTCATTTAAAAACCAAACATAAATAAAAGAACATTTAAATTAAATTGATTATCTTTTCAGCATCAACTTTTATGTACGAATTATAATTAAATATAGTCAACACTTCACTAAACCTTTGGAGCTTTTATTTCACTAGAAAAAAAATTTAAATAAATTCAAACAGGTTTGGAATTATTATAAAAAATACCGGTCGTAACAAGTAGGTATTAACTAAAACCTTCTGAACAATATGAAAACAAAACCAACTCAATTTTGATTTATTTCTACCTTTTTCTAAACCAGTTCTGATATCAAGTGCCAATAAACATAATATTAAATAAATATTAATTTGTCCAGTTTAAAGATTTCATTCACAATTTTTAGTAATAGGTATTATTTTTAGTGGCAATTATGATGCATATATTGTTATATTTAGCTATTTATTTATTTGCATTTATTAGTATTATAATTAAAAAAAAATATTTTGTACATTTAAATACCAGTAATCTCTGGATAAATGAGCTCTTTGAACAGGGGGTCAAGCAGCGTTTGACAAAAGATTTCTAGAATATAAAAACTAGCTGCAATATTCAAAAAAATCAAAAACGGGTAAACATCTCCCTTCTGCCCTAAATTACCAGTTAATATTTTTCGGCTATTAAAGTTCCACCAATAATAAAAAGCGGGGAAGTGGATGTCGCTCTGCTGTACAGTAGATTACAAGTGGGTTAATGTAATGGATGGAATTAAATTTGAATCCAATGACATTATATTATTGTATTCGAAAAACAATTCTGAGTGAAAATGGTATATCTGTCAAGGAGATATTATAGATTATTAAAAATGTTCAAATCTTAGATTTAAAAAGAAAAATTTTTATGTTGTCAAAATTCAAACTTTGAATGATTATAAGAAAAAATTGTGACTATATATTCTTTTATTTTTCAATTGCTATTGATACTGCTCCAGAATGTGATGACAGACAAAAAAAAAACACACACACATCATGGTAAAATCAATATATTCATCGCTCCGCTCAGAATCTAAAAGATGACTATTTTGCAGTCAAATGTCAGTGAATCATTATAATGCCTTATATCAAAAATATTCACGAATAACTTAAATATTTTTGAATTTTGTATTTATCAATGAATTTAAATTCATCAATATAATAAATTAATTAAATGCTAACATCTATTTTAGATAAATCTTTAGGTGCTTTGTTTTTTTGTAGTTACATTTGATCATAGACATTCCTTTATAATGTATATAATTTTAAAGCACTAAATATTCATAAGCTTCAGGAGAGAGGCGTAAGATGGCTTGTCGGAAATTTATTTTAAATTGAGTATATTATGATAAATTACTATATAACAGATTACGTTGCATTATACGAAAAAAAGGTCAACATTATAAAAAAAAAGGTAGGCTAGTGGGTATCACTCTACTCAGTAGAGTCTACTGTATATTATATGTCATCTGTAATTGATGTGTTAAATTTGAATTCAGTGATATTAAATAATTTTATACCAAAACAATTCTGAACGAGACTAGATTACTAAAATTTATATTATAATTATGATATATTTATATTGCTATCAAAATATTTTATTACACTATTAGTTAAGCATTAGGTTGAATTATTTTTTCTGAAAAATTTGAATTCAAAAATGTTATTATACTTGAATGTATAAAATATAATAATATACTTTAAAAGTTGCAAATATAAAACGAATATTATTTTTAATTACTACAAAATGACTAAAATACGTTTCCTTTGTTTAAATATCTAATTTAAACTAAATTTTAACTTGAAATGTTTATGCAGAATAACCTAGGTATGTTTATTTAAATGTTCTTAAGGTTTCTGGACTACGTGATATTTTTTATCTACTGTTATTGTAATGCCACTTAAAGGAATTTGTTTCTACATTTATCATAATGAAATAAAAATAATAATAATTTAAACATGTATCGAGATGTATGTGTATTGTGCAACTACTAACTAATGTGCCTTTGCATTTAATTGTATTATGTAAAGTGGAGCCTATGCATTGAGCGTAGCATAGTTTTATTAAATTTGGAAAACTAGTTATATTATTATTATTATTATTATTATTCCCAACACTAAAAACCCTGTATTCCAAAACGTGTTGTAATAATAGCACTTAAATAAAAGGAAATAAAAATGTATTCTAGTAGAAAACTGTTATGCTGTACAATGTAGATCTTGAATGTACTTTGTCATTAAAGAGTAAATCACTGTTATTGGTCGGTTAAATTTGAAATTAACGATGATTAATCATTGTATACAAATAAATGACTCTTATCGGAGATTTTTTGTCACCCAATTTACTTATATGCACACATCCATTGTAAAACCAATTAATCGCTCAGCTCAGATATTAAAAAGATATGGAAATCTGTGAGACGTATCGTTCACGTATAAATGGTAAATGGTTAATAATTCWTGAAAATTAATGACTTGTGTGACTAGGGCGCATGTAATATCAATAATTAAGTTTTTTTAGTTCAAAATATAGGCTCAAACTTAAAATGTGTTTTTTTTAACGTTCTACAGACGAAGGGTTTTCGACCGTAGCTCCGTCATTAATGGCTGTCCACATGATACTTGTGGCGATAATTGGCACCACAGCAAATTTATGCGTGTTTCTCGCTCTATCAGTGGGTCATAAGGTGTCCAAAAACCTTTTGTTGCTGAATTTATGCGTCGCTGACAGTATGGTGTGTATTATTAGCGGACCGTTGACAGTGCTGTCTTGGGAATGGCCAATACTATCGTCGTACACCATCGTAAATGCAGTACAGGTAATTCACAGCATGCTGAACATTAAATTATAGTTATCACGACTTACTACACAATTGTGTATAAATAATTAAAAAACACAGACTTTATATTGTAGGAAGTGATCGATACACAATAAACCTATTTACGTTTTTCGAATGCTCGGAGATCACTTCAATATTTTTTTTTTTTTTAAAGAAGCATCTAATAATTTTCAAACTATATCAAAACGCAACGATATCTATTAACTAGACCTTGACATTTTATTATATTACTTTGATAAATTCTAGTGTCAATAATTTAACTATGTATAATATTAGGTTATAAATTGTCTGTTGCTCAATAATAATAATTATAGTCTTCCACCACATTGTAAATTATTTTGGATGGTAATATTAAAGTGATGGTAAAATATTTAATCGATTTGTTATTTCTACCTTCGGTTTACTAATAAGTTTTTTGATTATCGTTAAAACAAAAAACAAACTCACTAATGATGGCAACATATTGTGTTATATGAGCATATCTCTTTAAATGGTTCGTTGGTATTCATTAGAGTTTTGACCCAATATTGGATTGCATAATGATGATATATTATACTAATCGTACATCCCAAATTGATGTATTCATTTTAGTTTACGATAGAGTGAGACTTAAGAGTTTGTATTACGTATTTTGAAACGAATAGTATGTATAGGTACCATTATGCTACGCGTTGCACGGAAAAAAGATTAATTCCTAGTACAGATATCTAGAATTCTGTCCCATGGACATTTTTACCATCTATTTTTTTTTCAATCTCGATGTATTCGTCCAATCAATGTCCCATTATTCAATATCACTCTGTATACAGAGCAATCAACTTAAGTGGTTAAACTAATTATCTCAAAAAGTATAATCTTTTTAAAAATTTTTTTTTAAACTTTTAGGTTTATGTTTTTCTAAAACCTTATAATATTTTAATTTTTTCACCCTTATATTTATTGGTGAAACCACTATCAACTTTTGATATTCAAATAGTAACATATAATAGAAATATCATGAATTGATAAAACTTTTTAACATTTTTATTTTTCGTTGATTGGTTTGTGAGATACAAAATGTTGGTGGTTTTTACTATTTTTCTAATAATTTTTAAGACCAGGAGCTAGTGATAAATTTAATATCGCTGAATCCAAGGTAATAGGTAACAAAATAAATAAAAATTAATTAAAGATTACTCTTGTACTTTGAATCCTGATCAATTATTAACTAATTGCCTAATTGGAATTATTTTGTTAACTTAGATTCAGTGATAACGAATTTATCACTAGCTCCTGATCTTTACAATTATTGGAAAAATAGTAAAAACCACCAATACTTTGTATCTCACAAACCAATCAACGAAATATAAAAATGTCAACACGTAAATTCATTATAAAAATGGTTTTATCAATTCATGATATTTCTATTATATTTTATCGTTTTAAAATCAAAAGTTGATAATGGTTTCACTAAAAAATATAAGTGTAAAAATAAATTTTTAATATTATACGGTTTTTGAAAAACATAAACCTAAAAGGTAAAAAAAATAATGCTTTTCGAGTTAATTATTGTATCCACTTAAATGGATCACCCTGCATACATGACAAGTTTATAAATGATTTACTTTACCAGTTGTTGCAGTTGTGAAATATTGTGCAAACCAAATTAAAACGAAATAAACAGATGATACCATAAAAAAGTTATACAGTCTGAAAGAAATACCAATAAACAAAAAAAAATATGATAGTTAAACGTTATGATAAAATTTGTGAAGATTGTATGGTTAATATTATATAAATAAAAAAAATATATTCACGTCAGAAAATTCCCAAAAATAATATTTTGAAAAAGTTATTGTTTTAAATAAATTTACTGCAAAAAAATGTCGATATTTAAAAATAAATAAACTGCTTAATTTAGATAAATGTATTTACCATCATGATTGTTCTTATGAGATTCTGATTTTATTTGAAAATTTACTATTGGATCCATAAGCGTCATTTCGACATTCAGAAATGCCAGAAATGGAATTTATTTCCGTTTAACTTATTATTGTTGTGTAAGTAGTTGTGTCGGGTACATATTATACTAATATTTTAAATCAACATAAAAACCCCAGAAATATTAAATTGTTATTCAGATTTGTAAAGAATTAGAGACAGAAAAGCCTTATTTAGCTCACTGTGTTTATTTTTCATGATAAATGTTAAAATGTAATATGTATATTGTATATTATKCAATGTTTGAAATGGAACAAAGGTAAAGTATAATCGTGTTTTTCTCAGACTTGTTTTCGTTGTTTTATTTTTTAAACTTCAAAAATTTGATTTGAGTATTATCAGCTATTTTTTTTAAGCATTGTGTTTTCTAATATCAGTTATGTAAAATATTCTACAGTATATACAAATTAATTTACATTATGTAACTTTTTATTTACTTACTACGAAATGTTCCAAAGTTATACATACCTAACAAACTTTTAAGTCGACAATTTTCGAAAGAAGTTTTCTAATGCGATAGTGGTTTTTATTTAAAATCATGCAAACTTATTAAAAACAAAGCGCAAGTATTCTGTTCAAGATGTAGAAATCTTTGTCTCGTTATAATTTCTCACGAATAAATTCATAACACGTCTTAACCGAAATATAAATGTAAATTTAAAAATCAATTGCTTTTGAAACAAATCAAAAACAAAATTATCAAAGAAAACAAGAGAAAGTTGTTTAAAACACGTTGAGCTCCGCTAGTGTTCACGGCGCAGTGCCCGCGTCGCCGCGTCAAAACTACGTACGATCGACTATGCGTCGACACCGGGATTTTGGTTGTGTAATAAAAATATTTTTCGAATCACCCTGTATTCTGAGGAACACGGTGTATACATCGTAAAATAACTTGTATGAAAATGTTAGTATTGGGAATGTTATTTATACGATTTATTATATCGAGTTGCAACTGAATTTTAATAATATAGTATACTATTCTCATCAGCGTTAAACATCGTCGTATTTCTAGGAAAAATAATTATCCAAACTAAAAATAAACAAAATTAAAAACGAACTTCATCTTTAGATTCTTAAGAAGTCACCTGATCGCCTACAATAGATTTCAAAACGTTATCGCGTAGCCAGTAAAAATTATAAGCCACCAAAGTGAACACTATGTTTGTCGACTACCCGTTGAAAAAGGCGACCCGGGCAATGTAACCGATGTCGACTACCCGTCGACAATGGCATTGAACGTGTTAATTAGGTTAATTAACAACGTTCCGATTGAATTGATTAAATATAATTAAAATATCTATGCCGTATTCGATTTTGTAATAACGACATGAACTAATTTCTAAATCATTCATTAAATTAGAACAGTGGTCCGATGTTTGTACTTACCGTGGCAATCGGACTATCATCCCATATATAACCATCGTCTGTGAAACGATATTATATTATAAGACATTCTACTTTGGGTACGTGGTGTTTCATGAATATTAATATTTCTTTAGTACTTTTTGATATATTACAGTCAGTTTATTTAAGAGTGCACTCGTCGTAACGGTTACGTACTACCTATTATATATTACGTCTTTCGTAGGATTTCGGTATACTGTGCGTAAACACACTAACCACCCACGACCATGGGATGACCTAACTGAAATTCACCCGATATTATAATGCGTTTATGAAATGAAAACAACGTCATGTAAAACATACGAATTCCAAATTAAAACAAAATAGAAAATACTTTTAATAGCCTTGGAGCAAAAAAAAAAACAAATAATAAGAACCGTAATGTCCGGAACGTTAAAAGAACAATATTTAAATTTTATTTTTAAAAAAAGAAGGTACTTATATATTATATGACTTAATAAATACCTCTGTGAACGCGTAATAAATTCACCACTGTGAAAAAAACATTTTAATTAGTTTTTATTTTTTTTATGAATTTTAATTGTTTTAACAAATTTTTTTACGATGATTTTAACTTATATAAGTTAAATGTTACATTCAAGTATCGTTTACTTGAGTTCTGATTCAGAAGATGATCCAGATGTTGATTGCGAAGATAAGAAGTTATCCTGTGGAAAACGTGGTTTCAGCCGACGGTTTTCTATTCTTTTATCTACCGATTTTGTAGTGAAGTAAGTGGACCTTATTCAATTGAGTTAAGTCGTAGGTGAAACTTTTAAAATTATCATGGATCCATGTATCTATATTATTTATAATTACCACTGAATCATGGTGTTTTAAGGGATATTCCGAGAAATTTATTATGTATTTTCTGAAATTTGATAGATAGGAGTAGTATGTTTTAGTAGGTTCTGGGTCCCCCGTAAATCCCACAGATCCCATTACCCCGCCTAGCCTATGGTTCGAGCTATCGCGTACACGCTAATATGATGACTTCATAATAGATAGCATAGTATAGATATGAATGGATGAGAGGGGGAGGGGCATGGCCGGGCACGGTCGCGCGTGTGCCGGGCACGGTCGAGCGTGTACGCGATAGCTCGAACCATAGGCTAGGCAGGGTAATGGGATCTGTGGGATTTGCGGGGGACCCAGAACCTACTAAAACATACTACTAAGAGGAACAATATAGATCCAAGGACGGATCCTTGAGGGATGCCAGATTTTTTAGTATATTCGAGATAAATCAGTGCCTATTTATTTTATAGAGGTTAATGATGAAGGAGCGAATGATATTAAAAGATTGTTAAGTGGATTCAGTTTATTTTGTTTGTGCAGGAGGACTTGATGCCAAACTTTATTAATTGCTTATGCTACGTAGGGAAAGCCATGGTAGAGTATTTTTATTTTTTTAATCAGTTTACAATTATTTCAGATTTTCTCTGAAGCTGGTGACAGGTTAACTGTTAATTTTTCTTAATTTCTTAAATGTCTTAATCTTCAAAAAGTACACATTTCAGTTGATTTTTTTTCAGACGTTGAGACTGAGCTATGAATGTATTTTATCATTGTGCTCCGTAACAACTATTATGCTT